TCTCTAATTACCCTCAACTTTGTACAGTCACCCTTCTACTCATAATTTGATACAAAACAAATTGACTTATGTAAATGATTATAATTTGCTGGCATATCACCTATGACTTTCATGTTTTTAAATCTTGTTCATATTTTTTGTATTCATTTTATTTCTACTTTCATTTCAATTGCGAGAGTTGACTACTTTATCCTTAAGTATCAGTTTCTTTTGCTGGCTGGTTTTTTTTTTTTTTTTTTTTGCTACTTACCAAAAATTTAAATGTTCCTCTAGATGGAAGTTCTTTTCTATTCCTGCTGAAGGGGCTGAAGGGGGTCCAAGTCAGGTGAGTTTCCCAAAGAAAGAACACAAATGGAGCAGAGATCCCTTCAGGAACAAAACTTTATTTTATAGCACAGCACTTGTAGTAGTTGTTATCAGCTCACTGGGACATGGTGAGACTAAACAATTGCTTGGCTTGAAGGGCCATGTGGTGCATGCATGGTTGTCTATGCTGATTCAGTATTATATAATGAAGCCCCATCATGCACCTTCACAGGACTGGGTCCTCAAGTGCCCTCAGAACCTGGGCTTTGACACATCTCACAGCAGGCCCCCTATACCCACCCATCTCTCTTTTTCTCTGAGACCTCATTTGTGCTTCAAATTTCTTAAATCAATATATTAAACACTAACTTTGTGTCAATAATACAGACATTAGTTCTTGAAAGGACTAGTTGAGTTAGAGTGGGACGGAGGAGTCCAACAAAGATAACTCACTTGAGGATGGGAGTATACTGATTTATTCTGGATGCTAGTAACATAAATGGTGAAACACTGGCTTAGTCTCTCTCAAGACTTAGTCATGTTCCCAAAGAAGTTGTATCTTTAGAGTTATTGAAAAAAACATATTATTAAAATATTTTGGCCATGTCCCATGTTCTTTAGTGTTATGGCTTGTGTCTAGATGTTCCTGAAAAGTCTCATGTGGTCATAGGTGGTAATTTTCAGGGGTGGCTGGTTCGAGAGTATGTGATGCTGGGATTAAATGTGTGATTCTGGAATAAAGCATTTGTGATTATTAAATTAGTCCACTGTTTGGTTTGTCCTAATTTTCAGAGTGGATAGTGGGAAAGTCCACCCTGGGTGTGACTGCTACCCACCCTAGACTATAAAGGACAAAAAGAGATCAGTTGCTTATAGTTTGCTGCTTCTCCACTACCTTGCTTCTTTGCTGCCTTCTGCATTCCATGCACTCTTTCTCCTCTGCCATGTCACCCTGCCTTGGAGCCAGCCAACTATGGACTGAAATCCCTAAAAACTGTGAACCAAATAAACGTTTCCTTCTTTAACTTTGGGTGTTGGATATTTTGTCTCAGCAATGAGAAAGATGTAACTAAGTCATTTAATAAGTTATTTCCATACAAAAACTATTATTGGTTCAAGTTGAGCACCAGCAGACTAGAACCCTGCCCTATGAACTACTCTATACCCATTCAATGTTTACTTTATGAGCTGTTAATCACTCTACTCCCACCACCAGTAGGGACTGATATCTGATTGAGTTTGATTATTTGACTCAGAGCATGACCTATGTTCTAAGGCTTCTTAAAATCAAATGATTGTGTATACTTTGGAATTGGAAAATGGGAATTTACTGCCCCATACTAAGGTAGCATGAGCAAAAGATGTGAATTAAGAAACAGCACAAAATTATGAGTCCTGATAAGAAATATAGACATGGGAAAATTCTGATTACAAAAGTCCCTGCCAAATATCACCCTTTGATGATACTCTAACTCCTGCCTGTTGATACTCCAACTCTAACTTTGCTGGGACACCATTCTTGACATCCACAGATAAAAGAGGCAGAGGTTTATTTTAGCTAACAGTTTGTAGAGATTTCAGTCCATAGTTCATTGGCTCTAAGGCAGAGCACGGCACAGGGATATAGTGAAGGAGAGGTGCTCATGCCACAGTAGTAGGGAAGCAGAGAGAATGAAGGGAGGAGCTGAGAAGGAAGATCAAACCTTCTGGGTGGAGCCCACCTCTTCCAACAGACCCCAATTCCTAACAGCAAGTCAGCTACAAGCCAAAAGATCCAATGGATATATCTCCTAGAGGCAGTTAACTCGATGGCTGTCCTTCTCCTAGCAAGGATCTTGAGTTATTCTGACCCAACAGATGTGCAGGCAGAATGATTAAAATATGGCCTTGTTAGGCAGAGGGGACCACTGAGTCACAGCTGTGAGAGGTGTTTTTATTTTTGTTTTTTGGTACAAGGGATTGGACTTAAGGTTTTTGAACTTGGCTATAGCCACAGTCCTTTTAGTTATTTTTCTGTTTTGAGACAGGGTCTTGGCTGGCTTCACACTTGCCCTCCTTGTGCCTCAGCCTCAAGTGCTGATCCTGCTGAGGTTTGCCACCCAGCCAGTTTATAGGGTGCTTTTTACTTTGCTATTTACTATTTAATGAGAGCCCCAAATCTGTGAAGTACATGCATATTATTTGGTTAGAAAGACTTCCCTAAAGGTCAAGGTTTTATTGTGCTGTAGGACATTAACCAGTTTTATATCTTACCTAAGAATGTTGTGTTAGCAATTATTTAAATGGCTTTCCTGATAGACTATATAAAATGCTGCTCCTGAAAACTAAAACAAATTTAATTGTATTACTTAATTCCTTCATTAATTAAGTAAGTTATTTTACTCATTTAAATTCTTTATTTCAACATGTTTAGTTCTAAGTTTTATGAAGTTGCCTGCAGCAGGCTCTTATACCTTCAAAAGAAAGGGGTAAATTCAGGGACTTCTCTTGGAAGGGGAAGTGCCCAGACACACGAAGAAGAGGAAGGTGCGCTCATATTTAGTTCCAGAAATTTCCTTTTTCTCTCATTTGAGTAATTGTGTAAAATACATGCCTTATGCAACCAAGCAAAATCCATGTCCACCTTTATCATTTGGTTCAGCATAACACTGCCCACTCAGTCAAATTCCATAGATTTGGCCCAAACTGATAATTCCAGACTTTAGCTGCGAATACAACTTGAGTACAAAGTTGTATTATGGAAAACTGTTTCTGTTATTTAATATTTGAGTGTAATATCCTGAGGCAGAAAGTATCAGACTTTTTGTTTTTGATTTTGTTTTTGGTACTGAGATTGTACTCAGGACCTTACACTTGCCAGGCAGGTGCAGGACCACTGAGCTGTATCCCTGGACGAAGTTGTTATACCAAGCCAGCAAGAGAACGCCAATTACCAGGACACAGATAAAACTGGAGGAAGCTTATTACACACATGGAGACTCCAATCTCTAAGGGAAGTGAAGCCCCATTACAGCATTGTGCATATGTTTTATATGTTTTTCTCAAACAAAGAAGTCAGGGCATTCACACAGCTACAAGGGGGTAAGATTCCAAACACACTGTTTATCTTATGGGGGAAGTGTTTTATGGTCACCTTTTGTCATACCATTTGTTGTTGGGTGGGCTGTTAACCAAGTTAGCAATTAGCATGTGAAGGTTTGTTTGAAGTTTGAGCAGCTTTTCCCAATGTTTGATAAGGAGAGGGGGAAGCAACAGTTTCTAGGGTCATTAGCAGGGCAACATGAAGTCACTTTAGCTCAGTCAGGTCTCACACAAGTATCAGTTTTTAACGGTCCCTTTGATTCTTTTGGTTTTATATATTTAGTCTTTTTTAAAAAATTGTGGTACAACTGAGCAAGGAAAATAGTTCAGTGATAAAACATTTGCCAAGCATGTGCAAGGCCTTGAATTCAATCCTGAACAACACACGTGTGTACATGCACCCACAGCTGCAGTAAATTGACAAAGTAAGATGTGCCTCTTCTAATGTATAGTTCTATAAGTTGTGAGAAATACCTATAATTGTAAAACCATCACTAGAGTCAATCAACATTTAAAACAGTCTCATCATATAGAGTATCCTCATGCCTTTTTGTAAATAACCCACTTCCCATACTCCATTGATCTATTTTTAGTCCTTATAGTTTGGTTTTTCCACAGTCTAGTATAAATAGAATTGTGCAGTACTCTTTGATTCTATCTTTTTTCATTTTATCACAATGCATTTGAGAGTCATCTATGTTGTCAGTATCAAAAATTTATTCATTTATATTGCTTAATTAATTTCATTGTATGAGTAAAAACCATGATTTGCTGATTCATGCACCAGTTAAAGACATGCCAGTTCCCACTTACGGCACTTATGGATACACCCATCAAAATTGTACTGTTTGTGCTGAAAATTATCATACGTTTTTATTTCACCTTAGTAAATACCTAGGCACTGATTGCTTGCTCAGGTGTTTAACTGTAAAAGAAATCAGTGAACTGTTCTCAGGAATGGTGTGGCATGCAGTCTCCTCAGATATTTGATTGTTCCCTTGCACATGGTATTGTTAGTGTTTTCTTCGGAATGATGTATTGTTAGTGTTATTGGTTTAAATCATTTTAACTTGTGTAAAGAAGTGTCTCATTGTGATTTTAATTTTCATTAGTCTAATGAATAATACTGATAGGCAAATTTTCCTGTTAATATTAATTAGATGTCTGTATTAGATTATGTGTTTAAAATTTTGGACCATTTATTAGTGTATTGCTGGCTTAATCATTATTAAATATTGAGAGTACTTTTGATATTCTGGGTAAAAGTCCTTTACATGCAAATATTTCCTCCCAACATGTGACTTTGACAGAGAATGCTTTAATATCAAAAATCCAGGAAATGTCACAATGTAAGATAACTTCTGCCCTTTGCTCTGTTTAGTTAAAAATTAACCAGCACTGGAGGCATCTAGTCTCCCTAAAAAGTTTTGTAAATGAAAAGAACCGTTGTTAACCTTGCTGACCACACAGGCCCCTTTCCTCTATGAATTTTAAAGGTAGCCTCCCCTACCAAACAAGTGCTACATCGGGTTTGGGTTGAAATTTAACTGCCTCGCCACCATGTTTTGAATATCAGCAATGTGAACTGTGAAAATGAAATGTAACCACCTGAATGAGATCAAGGCTATAAAACCCTATAAAAGAAGGAGTTGTAACCCAGTGCATCTTTGATCCAGGCACAGCTTATGTGTGATCGACCCTCACTGATGAGTAAATTTGCTATTTTACTTCTATTCTGCCGCCTCTTTGTGTGTCACTTGCAAATTCCTTCCATAACAACTTATTCTGCATTCTTTTTTTTCTTTTATTGAGTTTATTGGTACATTTTAGATAAACAGTACAATTACGTTCATTATTGGGATCTTATACCTTTACATGACAGGTCTTGGTTCTCATTTTTTTACCCTTGTCCGTGTATTCTTCATTCTTAAGAACACATTGAAGGACAAACATTTTTCATATTGTTAATGTTTACTTTATCAATTTTTCTTGTATGGTTTATACTGAAGTGATTGTTGCTCTGTAGCAAGTCACAATGATTTTCTCTGATGTTTTTACTCTCTGTTCATTTAGATTGATATGCTTATCTTTTCACAGTTACTATATTTTCTTGATTAATGTGCCTTTATAGAAAGCATAAGAAATTAGTAATTTTGGTTCTTCAATATTACTGTTCTCTTTCAAATGTATTTTGCTATTCTAGATTACTTCCTTTCCTAGAAAATTTTAGAATCAGTTTTTCAGTTCTTACGACAACAACAGCAACAACAAAAAACTCTTGAAGTTTGACTGGTTGGTCTCTAGATAAATTTAGAGAGAATTGACTTCAGTTTTCCATACCAGAAACACAGCATCATTCTCTGTTTATTTGGGTCTTCCTGTTTTTCTTCATGTTTTGTGCACAATTATTTTTTGATGCTGTTGAAATCTATCCTTTTTTCTCACTTCTCCCTGTCTCATAAACTCATTTAATTTGATTATCAAGTTTTAGTGATTGATGCAAAATAAAGGAGAAGTCATTATTTAGTTCAGGCTGCATATATTTTATCTTATAATTGGTTATGTAAAGCAAATTCATATCATCCCATATTTATACCCTCTACAAAATTGTCAATCCTGAGTGGATCCTGCCTAGGCTTTTTCTTGGGAGCTCAATTTCCATTTGGCCAGAGTACATGATGTTATTTTCTTTAAGTAACAAGATGGAAAATTTATCTTTCTAAATATTATTTTTCCTCTCGATTAAGAAAGTATCCTTTATGTTTTCTTTTAAAAGATCCTTCTTACTCTATCTTTTGAGTGCTTCTTATTTCTTATAAATTATTGCTTCTCTGACCCAATTTCATTTTGAAAGGCATACCTTGCATAAATTCCATAGCACAGTTTTATGTATTCAAAGAAATTCCTATCTTATATGAGCTTCCAGATTTCTTCCTGGATGAAAGACACTACTGTATCAAGTTGATGCCTGTCAAAATTTCCTCTTGATATTTCCACATCAGCCTATTCTGACCTTTCTGACTTTTTAAGAACTTTGCTCAACTGGTTTTCTTTTGTGTGTATATAATGAAGACTTTTCTGTTCTTACTTTTATAAGAACACACAACATTTTCCACTTACAATTTGGTAGAAAGAATTCTGACTTAGGAAGAGGTGACGGAATTCTAGTCTAAATGTAGCCAGCATGTTTTTAATTGAAGATTTACATTTTTATGCTTCTGGTGATAAGTTGTATCTTCTTCAAATTTAAAAATACATTTTTAAAAAAATTTCTTCTCTGAATTAGATTACTATATGCAGTTTGAATTTTTTTAAGGAAATTGTCCTTGATTACTAATTTCACTAAATTTTAGAGAATAGAAAAATATCTATTTTTAACTGGAAAAAAACTTTTTTTTTTTACATTTTAACAATTATAGTTATTGCTATTTTTTATTCCAAAATTAACAGTACCCTTAAAATATTACTTCAGATTTGTGTCTGTCAGCAGAAGAATGGTGGAATTTAATAGGGTTTCCTGTATTGTTAAAAAAATGTATATATTACTTGCATGTTTCAGTACTTTTATTAAGAAATATGGACCTCTAGAAAAAGAAGTGTTTTAAAGATATTTTTCATAAACTTTTTAATCTTTTGAATTCCCATTTCCTCACATATTTTTATCTATCTCTACTTGCTTCATTAAAAAAATAGGACTTAATTTTATAGCAGTTTTTAATTTACAGAAAAACTGATCTGAAAATCCCGAGTTCCCATGTGACCTTTTGTCGCACCTCTTACCTCCCATTTAGAGTAGCATCTTGCCTTAATTATAATTTTTATAACTGAAACACCAATATTGATGCATTATTATTAACAAAAGTCAATAGGTGTTATTAGAGTTCACTCTATGTTTTGCATTCTATAGGTTTTGACAAACAGTTAATTAATTATGTCTATCTATCCTGACAGTATCTTATGGTATGACTTTTACTGCCCTGCCTGACCTTCTGCAACCACTTCTGCTGTTACTGTCTCCACAGTTTTGCCTTTTTATAGTTGGAATTATACAGTGTGCAAACTTTTCAGTTTCAGCCTCTTTCATTTAGAAATACCCATTCAGAATCCTTTGTGAGCTTTCATGGCTTACTAGTTTTTTCTTATAAGAATGAATAAAATTCTATTGTATGGAGGCACTACAGATATTTTTATTCCTCTATGTTTTGAAGGATGTCTTGGCTGCTCATCAGTCTTAGCAAGTCTGAATGAAGCTACTATAAAAATCCCCTTCTTTGTGACATATAACTCAGAGCTCTTTCAGAATGGCAACTTACCCGTGGTCACTAATCTGCACTCTATTATGTGAGAGCTATTGTGTCAAAGAGGGCATGTTACCATCCAAGGTAACTATCTATTGCACTCTTTCCTGAGTTGCCCACTGGGGCCTACCTACAGTGGCTTTATGTTAAAGGTCTATACAGTAGATACATTCTATAAAAGATGCTGTCAAAAACCAATCAAAACCTATCTGTTTGGGATCTTGTAATTGAAGTATGTAGAGAAATAGTTTGTTGGCTTAAAGCTCTGCTCTATAGAGAAATGGATATATGATGTGAAAGATGATTATTTAACTGTGTTGCTGGACTCAGGAGGAAGACATAACCACAGGGAAGAAGAGGCAATTAAACTGGAAGATATTTGTGCCAAAGGTCCACGATAGCAGTTCTGATCTTGTTAGGATTTTCCCAACAGGACGACTAGACAAAAGCCTCACTGAAAAGAAATCCAAAGGGTCATAGAAAGGATCACATTTAAATTGTCGACTCTGATATCCAATCAGTAACACCACATTAATTGTCTCCTTTAATTTCTAAATTTTAATTAATCTGGAATTATACTTTTTTCTTGTTTTCTGGAAAATTAGCTAATTAACTCTTAATGAAGGATGAGAAAGCAAACACTGCTGGTGCCAATATTTCAGTAAGAGTATTAAATCAACATGAAACATAGGGAGGAGGAAGGAAATGGAAAAACAGGATGGAAAAAAAGGAATTAAGATGTAGTATATACATGTGCCAACTGCACAGAAAGAATATAAACATTAGGTACTTCAAACATAAGGTACTAATAAAGAGAGAGAGCATTCAATGTGAATCAAGAGCAATGGAGATGAAGTTAGGCCATATGTGCAAAGAAGACACTTTCCTATCATAAAATGACACTTGTTTTTGTAAAACATATCTCAACTTTCCAGTTACTCTTTCTTCCTCTTTTCCCCAAGACCTAGTTGTGCCAAATAGTTCAGTGCTGCACAAATCTAATTCAACATCAGTGTTTGTGTATGTAGTGAATAGAGCCAATACCAAAATTTTCAATAAAGAATATAAAGAATGTTACAAGAAGGTGGAGGAATAAGTAGGCTGCTGCTGCAACTGCCAATGGTGATACAGTGGGTATGACAGTGAATGCTGGTATTCCCTAATCCTTTACTCTAGTCCTTGTACTGGGATCAGTGCTCTGCATTAATTTTTATTTATTATTTATGATAAATAGATGTGACCTGATGCAAAGAAGGATGAAGAAGTAGTAATTAGGCAGTGAGTTGCAGTTGGAACTAAACAGGTTGACTCTGATGGCAGCCAAGGAGAAGGCTCAGGCATGCATGACAGAGGGGCATGTATAGAAGAGAGGGCGAGAACGGGTGTGTAAGACTACAGATGCTGTTTTGGGGCACACCCCAGGACCATGTAGACTGAAGGCTCTGTTAACTTGGACTTTTCCTCTGGAGGAGTGTGACAGCTGCTCTCTGTTGGCCAGTTTCATGATTAGAGAGCATATCCTCTTCACTCCTCCACTGCATAATTTATTTCTCTCTTGATTAGCATAACATCAACACATCAGGCTAAAAGGATTCAGTGGTACTATGTCTACTTTCTTCTTTTGTCATATTTCAACTTTCTCAATTATTTCAATTTATAAGGTTTCTCTGACCCTAGGGCTAATATATAACCTCCAGTTCTATTAATTTGACATAATTTTGACTCTTTTTAATTCTACCAGACTCCTGCCTGAACACCCATTCAGTAATTTCAACTACAGTCACAAAACTGATGTAGACTTAAAGGACAAACTATTAGGCAATTGCAAGTATTCTTTCTGAATAGCCTGAAAGAAGTTCATGAAAAAAAGCTAATAACTAAAACATTTATAATAGCCTTTCAGGGAAGATTGGGAAAGGGGTCATGTAGCATTTTTTTTTCAGTAGGTTAGGAGGGGACATCACTTGTCCGCTGTACTCTGATAAAAGTATTTTCATGAATTTTATTTCATCAACATTGGATTGAGCTTGATAGAAAAATTCTGACATATTGTCAGCATGTTTATTTTTATATATGGATGATTCCGTAGTTCATACTGTTTATAATTCCTAGCCCTTTAAGATGACTTGTGTCCTTCACGGAGCAAGGAAATGCAGCCTTATTTTGTAGCAAGTGTTTGGAATTAACCACATTCTAGCGTAATTTTGAGTGATAATGATAAATGAGGTAAAAAATTACAGGAAAAATGCAGTTTGAAAATGTTGCCTAATGAACAAGAAAAAAATATCTGAAGCATCAGTAAGAAATTAAAACTCAAATATGAAATTTGGAAAATTTTTGAATGTGCCATCAAAGCAAGTATAAACCAATTCCTACTCCTAAGAAGTCCCTGGTTTGAAGAGAGCAATCAAAACCTATTCTGCATATATTTTAAGGCAGAATGGAGAGACTTCTGTTTATCTCTCATTTTTGGCTACTAGTTGGGAGAGAAATGACAGATGGGAAAAGGGAAAGACTTTAATACTGCCTACGTGGTGTGAGGAAAGTTTTGCTGAACCCAGACTGCATACTCTTAGTTCCTCTCTTTAAATCCAGAAGGAAAACAATGAGGTAAAAAGATAAATCAACACACACATACACACACACACACACACACACAGATATGCAAACAAACCCAGTGAAACCATAAAGAAGTGAGTTGAAGTTTTATACTTTTATTAAAGTGATAATCCTCAAATCATTCAATATACTGATTCTGAGGATTTAGCTAGTAAAGTGCATTCTATTTTACAACCTTTCTATTCTCAAGCCATCTCGTAAATCTTGTCATGTTGTATTTGGTCCACTAAGTAGTGCCATTATTTATCAGGAAATTGAGGAAATAGTGCTCTTTTTAAAATGTGCTTTAGAGCAAGAGAGCTAATTTGCATAATACAATACATTTTAGTTTTAATTTTTGTTCAAGTTAAGTAGAAGAGTTATAAAGATATCCCAGCAATGGTCATACTGAAGTGGCTGCCACATTGCCTGGAAAAGGTTAGTGATGCCCTGGTAAGATTCTTTGCTATTTGTCATTCAGTAGCTGAAGTATTGATTCTGAGAGTAAGCAGACTCCTCCCTGTCAGAGATGTTTGTATTCATTATGTTTCATCTGGCGACTACTTGGCACAATTTCAATTATTTTTCTAACAGCTGGATTTTAGAATTACAGAGCCTTAGGGTTAGAAGGCATCTTGCAAACCACTGAGTACTGTGCATCTATCAATTCATTAGCTGAGTTCTTTTTGTAAGATGTGAGCCCACTACCATCCAGCCTGGCTCGGATGCCTGGGGGTCAGTGTCTTACCAATCCCTGGGTGCTGGAGGCGAGTAGGTATTACCAGTCATCTTTTAGAATGGAAATCAGCTCTTTAAGGGCCGGCTGTGAGGATTTTCATAGTGGTCAGGTTACCCTGCTCATCTAGTAGCTTGTTAAATTTTTAGTTGATCAATATTGGGCGCAATGTTAGAATAGATTAGTACCCCTGTTTTCTCTACCATTGCCATAATTCCTGTGGCGTGGAAAAGTAGATTCAGTAGTGGTCTGGATTCAGAATCTGGGTCACTTTATTTTCATCTTTCTTGTCACAATTTCTTCCTTGACACAAACTCCAACTTCAAAAGGAAAATACACCTAAACATATATAAACACACACACACACACAATTGTCCCCAAATTTAATAGGAATCTTGCTCTCTTCTTGGTCTGGATTCAGAATCTGGGTCACTTTATTTTCATCTTTCTTGTCACAATTTCTTCCTTGACACAAACTCCAACTTCAAAAGGAAAATACACCTAAACATATATAAACACACACACACACACAATTGTCCCCAAATTTAATAGGAATCTTTTGCTCTTCAGCTCTTAGCCCCAGTACCATTCCCCAAGGATGTGGCTGAATCCCATGGAGGACTCTTTTGCCTGTTGATGGTGTTAATGGTGTCTACCCTTCTGCTGTCTTGGTATGTACATGTTCCTAAGAAGAGGAAATAAAAGCTATTTTTAGAAATTTGGGAGAGACTTTTCCTGCTCTAGCTAGATGGCTGTTAAATTTCAAAACAAAGCATCCTCTGAGAAAAAGGGAGAAAACAGTGAGAATATTTCAGAACAGACCTTGGGGCTCCTGGGTCTGCTGCTGTGGTTGTATACATTTACTAGTTGGTAGTTGCTCACCTCCTTTTTGGGAATTTCACATTAGATAATAGATGTACAGGAAAAGACAGTTAGTGAGGCACTGAATAGAGGGGACAAGTCCTCTTTGTTATGCTCAAGTAACTCACTTGAATTGGTTGTCTCACAGCTCAACTTTACTAGGTAATTTTTGAATTGAATTAGCAATGAGCATTACAGAACAATAAGGGTTTTATTGGATCCTGTCCTATTATAATATTCAGTGGGAGTCCCATTTGGCTTTTCAGTTTGCTCTGTGTAACTAAAGTAAAATAATTGTCGTGTTGTTCTGTAGAACCCAATTTGAATGAATAATGAATAGTTATCCTTGGAAAATACAGAGGACACAATGTCTTTATTATTAATTTCAGAGAACACAATATCTGCACCTTAAATCTGGATCATTTTAGTATTTTGCCCTTGACAAGGCATATAAAATTTAATAAAACCTAAATTACCTTTGAATTCTAGAGAATTTTGTGAGCTTACTAATTACCAAAATGGTCTGCCCAAGATTTAGGAATATAAAAGCTGAGGATATGGAAGAACATAACAGTGAACAAGTAGGATGCTTTCTGGAAGTTAGATTTTCTTGGGCCTTTAGGGAAAACGTGTCATTTTCTTTAGCCTTTCAGCCTTTGAGTCACCTCGCTCATGTGGTAATATCTCTGCTGTATACATCGTGTTGGGAAGCAGAAGCCATTTCCCCTACAGAGGCTGAAAAACACAGATACTCAGTACTTTCAGGGAAGGAGGCAGCTTCCGATAATTGAAAGTTAAATCTAGAGCTCCTTGAATAAAAAAGACAGAGGCAAGAGGGAATTTGTTCTGGGGCTGTGGAAGTAGAAAAAACAAGCCCAGCATCTGAGGGGAGCAGTGTGGTGCCAGCAGCAAGAGCTCTCTGTATGAGGGTTGCTGGCAGGACAGCCTCTGTCCAGGTGTCCGATGCCCAGATTTGGCATTGGTCCTATCGTGTGGTTTTGGAAGTGGTTCTAGTTTCCTAATTTCCTGTTTCCTTAGTCCTTTTGTGAGTGTCTGAGTTACTCCAACATATTTCTCTCAAATATAAAATATTTTAATTTTATAACTTTAAACCTTTTAAAATTGGTTAGATTTAGTTTCTGGTACTTGCAATCAAGATTCCTAATTGATTCAGTAGCATAGGAATTTCTGTGGATGATCAAAATTAGCTCCTCTGAGGAACATAAAACGAAGAATTTTATCCATCCTCACTACATTACCCTCATTTTACATATCTATTCCCCACTCCTTTTCCACACTAATTCCCCGGAGCAGGAAAGAAAATGAAATAATTGAATTTAGGGTGCTGAGAAATTGGGATTTATCTTTTAAAAATAGACTGCTCTATACTCTTAACATACAAAACAGATATTCTTTATTTCTAAGTGATTTGCTGTTTTAAAGAATTAGGTTTCACCTAGTGAAAGCACCAATTTACTGTATCTTTCTACATAAAACAAAAATGCAGGGGAGACTTCAGAACTGTTCCCTGAAGAGATATTGTCTCCACATTAAAGGCTTAGATAAGAGGAAGGGACTGCATTAGGACCGGTTCACTATATTTTCAGTTACATTCAATATCTGCACTATGCTTGTATTAACTCAATTTTAAGCTCATTGATTAAGTAAGGACACCTGCTGTGATGCTGGCATAATTGTCTGCTACTTTGCAGGAGCTCAATGAATGAAAAACTAAATGTTGTTGCTTATGATATTATATATAAGTGATATTCCAAATGTCATAATTCCATACACTTACTTTTCATGTATACACAGACAATTTGTGAGTAATCCTCAGGATTCTGGTTCCCAGTGCTATGCACTGTTATGGCGAACACACAACTTCCCAAAATAGCAAGATTTTGTGATTGGCAAAAGAGCATATCCAAACCCCTTGACACATACAGCACAGCTCATTATAATACTCATTACTGCTAAATAATAATGTTGATTGTCAATATTATTCAATTAATCTAAACATTTAAGAGCAATTAATAATTGAGAGCACTATGGGGAATGTTGTATTCTTTCTTATCAACATTATTTCCTCTTTATATTTCGCAGACACCTCTATCATTCATAAAATCAGCCTAAACTTCTAGAACCAAATATTCTCAAAACCCACAACTCAAGACATTTTAAGTACTATTGAAAACTATATTTTACACAAGTTTTTTCTTTTTATTGAGTTTATTGGTACAATCTAGGTATACAATACAGTTACATTCATTACTGGGATCTTGTACCTTTACATGACAGGTCTTGGTTCTCATTTTTTCCCCTTGTCCCACCCCCTCCTTCCCTCCCCATTTACAGACACTTTATTTCCATTTTTTCATTTTCTCATATTTGTTTTCTTTTCTCTTATTCCCTTTCCCCTACCCTTCCCAGTTTCCCTACACCTTTAGCCCTTTTCTTCCTATTTCACATTATTAATTATCTCATTAGGATCTTGTGTACTATTATAGTTTATTCACACCAGAGAAACTATTCTGTTAACCTGTTTAAAAGAAGTAACAGCAAGAAGCTTTCCAGACATGGAAAAAGAATTTAACATACAGATAAGTAAAGCATATAGAACCTTGAATAGCCATGATCGGGAAAAAAACACTCCATATCAGATAATAATTAAAATGCCAGAAATTCAGCACAAGAACAGAAACTTGAAAGCTGTTAGAGAAAAGCAGTGAATCACCTATAAAGGAAAACCCATCAGAATTACAACAAATTTCTCAAAATAAACTATAAAGGGAAGGAGAGCTTGGAATGAAGTATTTCAAGCCCTAAAAGAAAACAACCTCCAACCTAGATTAATATATCCTGATTAATGTATCTTTTAAAATTGATGAAGAAATAAGATATTTCCATGAAAAGATCACACCAAGAAAAAAAAAAAAAAAAAAAAAAAAAAAAAAAAAGGTGCAGGTAGTGGAAAGTAATTAGGTAACAGGGTACAGGGGAGTAATGCTTGTCTCCTAGGAATGAATTGTTTCCCTTAGGGTGGGTTAATATATTCTGTTCCTCCAGAGGAGCCTAACCAGTAAAATATCTCTGTATCAAGTATTGCTCAGATGAGGTGCAACAATGAGTGTGGCAGTTCTCTTTGCCGGAGACAAGATTTACAGGGTTACTCACGTGAGTCAGCAGAAATACTATGGGGAATGTTGTATTCTTTCTTATCAACATTATTTCCTCTTTATATTTCGCAGACACCTCTATCATTCATAAAATCAGCCTAAACTTCTAGAACCAAATATTCTCAAAACCCACAACTCAAGACATTTTAAGTACTATTGAAAACTATATTTTACACAAGTTTTTTCTTTTTATTGAGTTTATTGGTACAATCTAGGTATACAATACAGTTACATTCATTACTGGGATCTTGTACCTTTACATGACAGGTCTTGGTTCTCATTTTTTCCCCTTGTCCCACCCCCTCCTTCCCTCCCCATTTACAGACACTTTATTTCCATTTTTTCATTTTCTCATATTTGTTTTCTTTTCTCTTATTCCCTTTCCCCTACCCTTCCCAGTTTCCCTACACCTTTAGCCCTTTTCTTCCTATTTCACATTATTAATTATCTCATTAGGATCTTGTGTACTATTATAGTTTATTCACACCAGAGAAACTATTCTGTATTTACACGTGTGACTTTATTTCACATAGGAGTATGTCCTCAATATATTTAACACAATTTGATCATCAAAATATGAGAGAAGGGCTGGGGATTTAGCTCAGCAGTTTGGTGGACTGCCTTGCAAGCGCAAGGACCCGAGTTCAATACCCGGTACCAAAATAAATAAATAAATAAATAAAATATGAGAGAGATTTGTCGTTACCAGATGCATGCTATGGTTTTGGTATGGTTTGTTCCTCAAAGGTGCTAAAGGCCTGGTCCCTGGTGGTATTGAGGTGGTAGAATCTTTAAGAGGTGTAGGGCCGGGATTTAGTTCAGTGCTGCCACAGCCTGCCTCTCCTATTTCACATTATTAATTATCTCATTAGGATCTTGTGTACTATTATAGTTTATTCACACCGGAGAAACTATTCTGTATTTACACGTGTGACTTATTTATTTCACATAGGAGTATGTCCTCAATATATTTGACACAATTTGATCATCAAAATATGAGAGAAGGGCTTAAAAAAAAAAAAAAAAAAAAAAAAAAAAAAGTGCAGGTAGTGGAAAGTAATTAGGTAACAGGGTACAGGGGAGTAATGCTTGTCTCCTAGGAATGAATTGTTTCCCTTAGGGTGGGTTAATATATTCTGTTCCTCCAGAGGAGCCTAACCAGTAAAATATCTCTGTATCAAGTATTGCTCAGATGAGGTGCAAGAATGAGTGTGGCAGTTCTCTTTGCCGGAGACAAGATTTACAGGGGTACTCATGTGAGTCAGCAGAAGCTATCATCCCTTGAAGCTCATAAAATAAGTATTTAGACCCAAAGTCGGTTGAGTGGCACACTAGTGAATGTCTAATACAGAATGTCTAAACTCCTAATGGCTTCGTCCTTTTCACACTGATGTAACAGAATACTTGCTACTTGCAAATAAGTAAGAAAAAAACAAAGGAGGGGAGGGTATTTGGTTCATCATTTTGGTGGCTGGAGGTCCATGCTGCTTGGCATCAACATCCTGCCAAGTGCTCCCTGGCTGTTCCACAACATGGTGGTGAAGCAGAAAGAAAACCAATCCTTATATTACATACAATTATAAAAGGGGACTACTTAGATCGAGTTACAGTACCAGAGGCTAAAAGTCCATCATAGCCATTTGCATGCCGGGCAGCCAGAGATCTGGTAGCTGCCCAGTCCAAGAAACTGGAAACCTCAAAACAAGAGAGACAAAAGATGCAGTCCTCATCTGAGGCTGAAGGTCTGGAAATTCCAAGGAAATTTCCTTGTCTGCATCCACATTCAAAGGCTGAATAAACTCGAGTCTGATGTTTCCAGGAGATGACGGTAACAAAAGATACTCACGTGCTACAGGATTGTAGCCTTACTTCCTCCTTCTTTCCAGTTTGGTTTCATTCAGGCCTTAAGCCTATTGGAGGTGGCACCCACAATCACGGCAGCCCTTCTCCCTCAGTGTACTGGCCTTCATGGGATCATTTCTGGAAACACCCCTGCAGACCCTCCCAGAGCTGTGCTTGACTATTCTCTTGGAATCTCTTAACCCAGTCAAGGTGATTATCAGGTTAACCATTACAGGTGTTAAGACCTTGCCACCTTGCCGAGACTTGGGACAATTCTGAAGGGCCAAACCAATTTCAGCACTTCCCCTGAAGCTTTTGCTAAAACCGAATCAGTTCAATTCTTCTGTCTGTCAAATTCTGTCTCCCTCACTTTCTTAAAATTACCTTTCAAATTGCTACCCAACAGGGCTGGGGATTTAGCTCAGTGGTTCCAGCGCCCACTTCACAAGCACAAGGACCAGAGTTTGATCCCTGGTACCAAAAAGCAAATTACTGCCCTGCATATTATTGCTTCTGCATTCAAGTGCTCATACAGGAGTTTGTTGCCTGGGTGATACAATCCAAGTCTCACTAAAGTAAGTCTTGAGATGAGTGCTGGGACTGTATTCTTTCTAGGCTGTCAGAATTTCTAAGTGATTGTCACGTGATGAAACTTTTCCTTGGTGGTGGCCAGATGCTATCTGCCTTACCAATAAGGTATCCTGATGTAAGCTGCTATCACTCTACAATTTAAATTCAAGATATGTTTATCTTTGTTCTGAGCATTTTAATTTTCACGGCAGCCCTTCTCCCTCAGTGTACTGGCCTTCATGGGATCATTTCTGGAAACACCCCTGCAGACCCTCCCAGAGCTGTGCTTGACTATTCTCTTGGAATCTCTTAACCCAGTCAAGGTGATTATCAGGTTAACCATTACAGGTGTTAAGACCTTGCCACCTTGCCGAGACTTGGGACAATTCTGAAGGGCCAAACCAATTTCAGCACTTCCCCTGAAGCTTTTGCTAAAACCGAATCAGTTCAATTCTTCTGTCTGTCAAACTGTGTCTCCCTCACTTTCTTAAAATTACCTTTCAAATTGCTACCCAACAGGGCTGGGGATTTAGCTCAGTGGTTCCAGCACCCACTTCACAAGCACAAGGACCAGAGTTTGATCCCTGGTTCCAAAAAGCAAATTACTGCCCTGCGTATTATTGCTTCTGCATTCAAGTGCTCATACAGGAGTTTGTTGCCTGGGTGATACAATCCAAGTCTCACTTCTTAAAATTACCTTTCAAATTGCTACCCAACAGGGCTGGGGATTTAGCTCAGTGGTTCCAGCACCCACTTCACAAGCACAAGGACCAGAGTTTGATCCCTGGTTCCAAAAAGCAAATTACTGCCCTGCGTATTATTGCTTCTGCATTCAAGTGCTCATACAGGAGTTTGTTGCCTGGGTGATACAATCCAAGTCTCACTAAAGTAAGTCTTGAGATGAGTGCTGGGACTGTATTCTTTCTAGGCTGTCAGAATTTCTAAGTGATTGTCACGTGATGAAACTTTTCCTTGGTGGTGGCCAGATGCTATCTGCCTTACCAATAAGGTATCCTGATGTAAGCTGCTATCGCTCTACAATTTAAATTCAAGATATGTTTATCTTTGTTCTGAGCATTTTAATCGAATGGGTGGTTTTTCTTATTTCGGGGAGCCTAAAATCTACATGACTCATCTACTCAGTGCTTTCTTGGCCAGTTTTATTATAATGCTACAATTAAACCATTATTTAATTAAATGTGTGTTCAATGACTATTTCTCTGAGACAGACTATGGCAACAAGACATGCACTCAGTGAGTACTTCTGTGTCACATTCTTGAAAGCCACCAAAAGGAAGTGCCAATCTTTCATTAACTGGACAAGGACAAGGACAAGGACCCAGAATATAAAACTCTTCCTCCAATGAAAATGTAATTTCTTGTGTCAAGTAATAGTTGTCCCTTCTTTCTTTTATGGGAAGACACGTGGATAAAAAGAATATTTTTCAAATATTTAGTCTTTATCTCCACACAAAGCCTCTACTCATTTATAATAATCAGATTAATTCAAGAAACCTTGGTATATAGACTTCATTTCAATATTTATTTCTTATTTTATTCTGGAAAGGAAACATTATGTAATTGATGTGGAAAGTTATAAAGAAAAACTCTCCCTCTATCTCACCAGTCTTCAAAGTTAGCTACTGTTGATATTTTGGTGTTATCTCCTGTGGAATAAAAGCATGCACATACAACACCAGCTCGCTGGTGTATACTTACAAGTGTATACTCACACATAGAAGATGCTTTCCTCAGTCACTTGGCCCTGGGCTTTAGATGTCCTCTTCTGAGAACCCATGAAAGGGGCCTTTGAAGAACCCTCACGGCTCTGAGTTTTCCTAGAATTAATTCACTAGAATCTCAGTGTAAATGCTGCCTTCAGCACAGGTGAGTTCCTTGAGTAGTTTCTCTCTACTTCTCTTTCTGTTTGTTTTTGCAGGATGTGACTTCAGATGTTGCCTGCAGACAAAATGTCACATAAACAAGTTGACGAGAGTAGGAAACATATGGTGAAGTTGGTGCATGCTGCTAAATGTAAATACCATTTGAAATCATCTCTTTAATTACTGCACACTTGGCTATAATAATGTGAAACCAACACAACTAATTATTTATGAAGGCCATCCAAAGAAAAAGACAAAGATCAACAAATTTATTGAAGAGATATATGTATATATATGAAATATATATGTATAGATACACACATACATTGGATGGAAGTGAGGGATTCAGTTTTTAGATGATTCAAACAAAATTCATGGTTGACTGAAATTCATACCTTTCAGTCAATTATTTTATTTTTACAATAAATATTATAGATAAGTAAAAAACAGAAGGAAAAGAAAACATACATCCAAGCTCAATGTATAGTTTCTTTCTGTTGATATGGAATTTCTCTTATATCCTTCTTTAATGTTCATTTAACCCTTTGTTTATTCAGACATTTGTTGAGAACCAGTTCTGTGCCAAGTGTGTTTCAGATGCTGGACTTACTGGGAGGAAGAGGGAACACATGGGTCCTGCTTTGTACCATGAAGGATACAAACTTTTAAACCTACATCTCTAACTGGTTTACATGGTGATCTAAGTACTGTGGATTTTATTTTTCTTAAATCATTAACATTTAAGTGCTGTGACAGGGGCGTGATTTGTTCTTTCACTCTTTTTAAAAACATCCTTCTTATGCCTGCTCAGGTATTTCCTAAATCCAGGTCAGTGGACAAGAGTTTAGAAGACGAAGTAAATGCAACACCCAGCCAGGGTGTCTCTTTGTCAGAAGCACAGTTAACTGAGTTTATGCCTAGATCTTGAATCTTGGACACAGTCATATTCGTCCAAAAATATTCTCCACTGCTTCTCTTCTGTGACCCCCAGGCATGATTCCTTGAGTTCTTCAATTTTGTGAGTTTCCTACCTGGGGTGAAAATGCTCATCTCTTCCTTTTCAGCTTACCTTAATGAATATTTCTCTTTGTGTGGGAATACTCCTCTGTGTTAGCTGACGGTCAGGGGTGGATAAAAAACAGCCTTTCTATCATTATTATTTCATCTGAAATTTCCACTTGTTGGTAGCTTGGTCAGGGCAGTGTCCCTGGAGCAGTGTTGGAGTCAGTCCTGTGAGGTTGTTTTTAATCTCTCTTCAGGACGTCTGGTTGTCTTGTCGCTATGTTTGATGCTGTAATAAAATCTCCAAATGGAAAAAGGCACCATTTAATACCTTGTTATGTAGAATACAATGGGTGAAATTAATTCCTAATTATTTATTACTGTAGCGTGATTAGTCTCAAGTGCTACTCCCAAGAATGAAGTTGGATAAGAGAGAGTATCTTCATAAGGCAGAGAAGAGGGAAAGGGAGAAATTCTCTTTCTGTTCTTTCAGCTGTGCCAGGATCTGCCTTAGGCCAAAGCCAGAAGTCCCCAACCTGGGAAGCTGGGGTGTGGTCAGTGAGCTGGGATACAGGGCAGTGCCAGAGACAGCGTGGCTTTGAAGCTTCTGGCTGACTGGCCCGTCACATCACCTCACTTCAGTTCTGTCTCACTTGGCATGGAAGCCCAGAAGAGGATTAGGCTCTAATTGTTTAGCTGTTCCTAATTGTTTAAGTTCCAAGTCAGAAGAAAATTGGGTTCGTAAGTCAGGAAATTTCAGCATGGGCTTCACCAGGCATTAGGATAATTGCTCTCCCCAGGGAGCTGCATAAGCGGCTTCTTCAGCAGAAGGACACATACTTTGGTGCACAAACAATATGCAGTATACTCTTGTCCCTCTGCCTTTGTAAGACTGTTTCAAGCCTTCCTAGCAATTATTTAATTCATGAAAAAGTGCTTTTAAAATGTAAAATCAAGTTTTTTTTACTTTGATATCCACATTATAAAAGAATAGATGTACTAAATATCAGTGGTGTTCTATAATGCTAGAAAGGAGTCTCCAACAATATTATAAAGCAGAAAAACAAAAAAATTCCAGGAATTTAAAATTAGTTTTTTTTTTTTCTTTTTGTTGAGGTTATTGGTACAATCTAGGTATACAATACAATTACATTCATCGTTGGGATTCTGTACCTTTACATAATAGGTCTTGATTCTCATTTTTCCCCTTGGCCCTGCCCTCCCTTCACCCCCTCCTCTCCTCCCCATTTACAAGCACTTTATTTCCATTTTTTCAATTTCTCATATTTTTTTCCTCTCCCTTATTACCTGTCCCCCACCCTTCCCACTTTCCCTACACCTTTAGCCCTTTACTTCCTATTTCACATTATTAATTATCTCATTAGGATCCTGTGTACTATTGTAGTTTTTCACACCAAAGAAACTATTCGGTATTTCAGTTAAAGAAATCTCTGTATGAACATTAAAAATAGGGAATCCTAAGATAAAACTAAAAAGGAAAGTAAAAGAGAAAAGGCAATGATGTAACATCAAAACAATACTTAATTCTGGAGATGAAAATGGTCCCTGAACACATTTAAATTGTTTCTCACTCTTACAGTCTTATCTTATTCTTTTTTTCATTATTTAGAGGATACTTTATTAGTTTCTGTAATCAAACCCATGTAGATATGACCTTACATATTTAGTATGATGTGTTACCCCTGTACACACGAAAAAAAAAATAAATTAACATTTCTAGACCAATATGGTTGTCCATTTCTGTACAATGCCAAGTCAACACAGTAAATTGGAATGACTTT